TTTGCATCAGAGCTTGACCAGTTTAACACCGTACCTGTGGCTCTTAGATTTGTTGAATTGCTTAAATGCGATCCATCCTTTGAATGGTAGCATTGTTTCATCAAAGCAAATTCTCTTTTCTGGCTTGTACATTCGCTGAAAGGAAGTATTGAGTAAGTCCAAAACCGGTTGAATTTTATAGAGTCCATTTTCCTTGTCGGCATTCTCGTTGTCTACGAAGTGTAAGCATATAGCAGGGCTTCAAAACGATTTCTGGCCATGATTTTAGTCTCCACAGAACATCCGAAAATAGGCGTCGTAGACCAGTAATCACGCATGCTCGGCATCTCGACATTCCCGTGTAGAGACAGATGCCCAAAAATCGCTTCATTTCCTCAACATCGGTGCAGGCTTTATTTTTAACAATCATTTTCTCTTTTGCATATCTATTCGTCTCTGTAACCATGCGGTATAACAATTCATTTGTTAGGAAGAGCTGGTAGCAATTTAGTGAAAACAAATCGGTCAAAGGGAACAGCGACTTCGTCCCAAGATTGATCATCATCTTCTTCACAATCATCTTCATGCTCGTCATCCCCGGATGAATCATACTGAACTGGTAAAACCAAGGGTTAATCAGAGTCATCATTCAGCAAAGTCTCATCTTACTCGCCAAAACTAGCCCACTCACCTGAGAAGCCATACGGCCCTGCGACGTCGCCAACGAAACTGTCCATCATGATGTTAGTCATGTGACCGTCCCGTCAATCTCAACATGGCAGTTGCAAAGCGTAATTCGATACTTAAGGGCCTTGAATTTGATACGAATTTCTACTGCAAACATTATTTTCAGAATATTATCCTACAATGCATACAAGCCAAAACTCCATTTTCAGGCCCCCCATAATTACAGTGGATGAAATGAGGTCTAGATACTTTATTTTGAGCAAAATATAGCTAAATTTAGCAATCCAGAGAAGGGAGTTTCTCCTGGGACCATGGCACCCATCGGTGGGTGCCAGTCGCGCACGAAAGGGAGGGGGCGTGGTCCCATGGGCGCGTCACGTCGAAATCGACATTGTCGTCAAAGGGTTAATCGAGAACTCATCGAATTTTGAAAGGTCACTCCCATTGGAAGCCTTGCGATATATTTTAAACTGACTTCGTTTAAGGGTTATGTGACCACCGCCACACCTCTTTTTTTGTGAGTTGTGCCGTAGGAATTTTTGATGAGGTCTGTAATGTATCAGATTATCGAAAAAGGCTTTCTACATTTTCTTTGACCTCGATTCTTTCCTTCACAACAACTACCAATTAAAAAACATATGCACCGTCATTATCGACAACGGCCAAAGGACAAGGCAACCTGTGAATTCCATTAAATAGAATCGCTGAGATTTCGAGCAGAAAAACTCACCGATGCACGTCCCAGTTGGCTCGCATCATCGACCTTCTTATTTTCAAAATGGTTCGATGGCGACAGGAACAGGTGATACTCTGACGGAGCGACTTCTGTTGAATACAGTGGGTAGGTCAAGAAATGCCACGCTAAGCTTTGTAGTAACTTCTGATTTCTTTTCTAATATGCGGGCTAGCCGTGTCGGAAGCAGTGTGGAAAAAGTGGGGTCTGTTCTTCTCGTAGAACTGCAGCGATCCGGTCCACAGAGTACATTAAACTTTGATGCTGACGGTGGAGTTTGGTGGCAGCAAGTCCCCGCGTACGATTCTTCCGAATGACTCGGAGCGCTAGGCTTTGCCTTTTTAGATTGGAGTTCTAGTTCGGCGGTCGGCATTCCATGCTCAACGCCTCCAAGCCACTGGCGTTTCCTCGTATGGCTTAACTATCAAACATACTTCTCGCGACTGTCTTCTAGCCATGCGAAGGTGCGTACGGAAGTCAACAAGTTAAGGCATGAATTTCTCCTCATTCGGAGGTGATGATTACCCAGTATCTTATCTATAATCCTTATTTTCATGTCTTCCTCGGGCGATCTGAATGGGTAGCTACTGTGTGATGACGGCAATTGAGCTCCTGTTCATGCTCGCGGGTTCTACACGTGGAACCCTCTTCATCCAGCTTCAGGAGGTGGTCGTTATTGAGCTCAGCTTATCTCCCACATCATGGTTTTTCGATCTAGTCAAAGTATCTAATCTCGAACTAGTGATACCAAGTTGTTGTGGTGTTGTAAGAGAGAAGAAAAGCGAAGCAGTCAGTTGTTCGAGTCGAGAGCGACTCTTCTCTGAGACTTAGACTTCCCGCCAACCTAATATTCAATTCCGCTCCATAATAGGTGTAACAGTGCACCGGGACCTTGTCAGAAACGAAATTTCAATATGGCTCTTATAGTGAATACACCGTGAGATAAAATGCAGCGGACGCAGAATAACGCATGCAACATATTTCCTTTCACGGCATAACCCTATCTGAATACGCAACTCTTCACCCGTCACAAGTTCGAAGCTCCCTAAAGGGACCTTGGGCAATGGGCAAGAACAGGAGCGGTCGGTGGATAGCTAGAGGGTTGGCACCGCACCACGAGCACGCGTTCGAGCCAGGACCGATTGCCGGGTTACCGTGGGAGTTGTGTGTGCGACAGAAACGAAAAATTCAGTCGTGCACATGAATCCTACAAAAATTCACCGTAAAATAAAAAGCATTGCTCGCAGAGTTTCACAAACAAGAAATTTCCGTTTATATACCCAAATCTTCACCCGTCACGTGTACGACGCATCTGAAAGGGACCTTGAGCAGGACTCTGGGGATGATTGGATAGCCAAGGGGTAACATTGCATAACGCGCACTCGTTCGAGTCAGGCCCCATAGTCGGGGATAGTGTGAGCCTGGCTACAGGACCGGGGGGACGTGCGATTCGTGCGATTTTGGGCGCGCGCGGCGAAATTTGCGATGATTCAGACAACTCCGGCGCCTATCACTGGGGCACAAACCTGAAGTAGAGTACTCTAGTAGGGTCGGACGATCTTACTAACCTAGTTTACTTCGAATTTGGGCCCCAATGATAAACGCTGTAGTCGTCCAAATCGCACCGAGTTTCGCCACGCAGTTCGCCGCGCGCACCCAAAATCGCACGAATCGCAACACACCCACAGGACCGTTGTCAACCGCGTGTGTAGTGACTCAGCGTTTTTGTCGTTTTCTCTGCATCACCATTAATAGGCATCTCAAGGGTTTCTGAAAGAGCCCCACAGGTGAATTCGAGGCCCTCGCGTATACTATATCTGGCACTATTAGGTCGGAAAACAGCCTAGTTAGAGAGTTATAAAGGCTCAATGATTGGCCCATGTGCATCCTCGGACGAGTTTCACCGGCATTGTAGAGGCTGCACCGATCACAAGAGAACCCATGTAGGAAGTTCAAGCAAACTGTGATGACCCATAGTGACAGTGAAACAGTTCTGGCTTGATGTAGTCAGCTCTTTGTGCANTCGGAAAACAGCCTAGTTAGAGAGTTATAAAGGCTCAATGATTGGCCCATGTGCATCCTCGGACGAGTTTCACCGGCATTGTAGAGGCTGCACCGATCACAAGAGAACCCATGTAGGAAGTTCAAGCAAACTGTGATGACCCATAGTGACAGTGAAACAGTTCTGGACAGTTCTGGCTTGATGTAGTCAGCTCTTTGTGCAATTGCAATAACTGAAATTTCGTCCAAATACCCCTTCCATGTTATTCCCGTCTTGCCAATCTCGTCCACCCTCTATTTTCCCTACTTTTGAGGAGCCATATTTTTCTCAAAATCGGCGAATTCTCTCGCTTTCTTCACTAACGATGAACCGTTCCCAATCCTTACTTCCGCTTTTCGAATAAAAATGGGTACCTCAAAATTATCGTGTACTGTGCCTTTAAGCTCTGCGATCCCAGCCAACAGTTGTAATGAACTTCCAAATCAAGGTCCATGATTAATGATGTCATGCCTTCGTATCAACCGCAATCACGGGAATTTCGACCACGATATCACTTATCTGTTTACTGTCTCCGCTTTGAAATTGATTCTCCTTGACATTCCTTAAGCCGTGAACATGCTATCTGCTATTTTATGTGTTCGTTTATTTTTGAGCATTGCCTAAGATCCTGTGCTTGTATCCTTTGCTTGAAACAAAACAATTATGATAAGGGTAAAAACGCGTCGTCCGTAATCGACTGCGTCACTCTTGAAGAAACACTGGTTTCACGAACCACGGCAACAGCCAGCACTCAATAGAACAGAATTCCATATAGAAAAAGCTAACAGCACAGTGAAATGCGATATCGTCACTCCCTTCACTTGCCAATTCTTTTCACGCGGTTTTGCCTCTATTGCTACACCACGCTTTACAGATAAATTAGAAATCTGAATCATATCTTGATGGCATTTATTTGGAGTAATTCAACTGCCCAAAGCTACTATTCAATGAATACGTTGTTAGGTGACTGCATACATAATTTCAAGAAACTGTATTATGCTAATTCCGATAATCGCACTATTGCGTACTCTTTTAGGACAACGCTCTTTCGCGCGCGGCGCGCGGCGGTGTGTGTGGGCTTGCGCGTGACTCGTGGCGCTGTTTCGTCACACAAACTCGATTTCTATTCTGTTCAATGAGATATTCGGGTTTTCAAGTGATCCTCTCTTCGCTTGGAATCAGTTGTGTTATGAATCCACTTGTGGGTTAATCAAAATCGTCGTGTTTGAATTCTTCTGCTTCGCACATTGATGAGCCGCGTGCGCTTCCCACTTATTGGAGTGTTCTCCATATTGCATTTTGATGTTTGCACCGAATTCGCATAACCAATGTAGTTTCATGTTTCGTTTTCATTCCTGTGATATTTTGATTTGGGTCTTTGGATAGCTTATTATTAGTAGTAGTAGGAATTAATGTTAGTGTTAAACTAATGACATCAAAACCGTAGTAGCAGTTTGATTGTTCCAGAAGTAGTGATGACGCGAAAATATTTGTTGTGATTACTTGATTGCTTTGTTGTTTCATACTTTTTCAGATTCTTTTTCAGTTGGGTCAGACAACATGGCCGCATCCGTCACTAATGCCAATACCGGCACGCCATCGTATTCGATGGCATCGCTATACGTCGGTGATCTTCATCCCGACGTCACCGAATCGATGCTGTTTGAAAAATTCAGCACCGCCGGATCAGTCCTGAGCATCCGCGTTTGTCGTGATAACGCCAGTAGGCTTTCACTTGGATATGCGTATGTCAATTTCCAGCAACCGACTGACGGTGAGATTTTCTTGTTTAATTGGGGGGGGGGGGGGGGGGGGNGAGTAACTTTTAAGAGGTTCTTTCTTGTTGTCCATATGTTCGAACCTTCGCTACGCTTGAGGGAAGCGTATTTTCCGTACTTCCTCGTAACTTCCATTATTCGTGGTCAATTTGTTGACTACATATCGTAATCAAACAGAATTTCTATTCAAACGGGTTAATCATATGATTCATGTGATTAACCCGTTTCAATGATCTGGGGTTGTGTAATTTCTCATGTGCTACTTTCTGACATCATATTTGAGGTATTCATGCATGTAGATGAGCCTTACAGCTTTTTTTGAATTCAAGCTTTGCAAAAGTTATAGGGTTGAGTAACCTGCAGCTTTTGGGCAATTGTTTATTCTGAACGTTGAAGAATTTTTTTCAGCGGAGCGTGCTCTAGACACAATGAATTTTGACATCCTTCATGGCAGGCCGATGCGGATCATGTGGTCACAGCGAGACCCTGCCGTAAGAAGATCAGGCACGGGCAATATTTTTATCAAAAATTTGGACAAAGTCATCGACAATAAGTCTATCTACGACACATTTTCGCTTTTCGGGAATATACTTTCATGCAAGGTAATACATTTAGATTGCTATTGACGCGACTTAATTCCATACGTTTTCATTGTTCAGGTAGCCGTTGACGAAGAAGGAAACAGCAAAGGCTACGGTTTTGTTCACTTCGAAACCGACGAAGCCGCGCAAAGCGCTATCAATAAAGTCAACGGTATGCTCCTAGCTGGAAAGAAAGTGTAAGTAATGAGCCCTCTGATTAAAATTTTGGGCTTGATCCTCTTTCATCCGAGGTGGTATGAATATACGAACAGGCATCTTGAATCTTTGTTATATCACTGGGTTGTCATTTTTCACTTCGGAACTGTAAGGAACTCGTAGCTGTTTGTTGAAGTTTTGATGATTGGGATGATCGAACTGTTACTCGTGTACGAGAAGGTGGACAGTTGTTTGCCGCTCCCTGTGAATGAGCTTGCTTGAACGCATGCCAGCACATCAGAGTACCTATTAAAGGCACATAACACCACAGTTTCGAGGCACCTTTTTAAATTTGAAAGTGAATTTGTTGATGGGAAATAGTGACCGGTAATAAGGAAGCGGGACAGCTCACAGAAATCATGAAACCTAAAGATTCTTAAAAGAAGTGAAAATAGGGGCTTGTACGAGATAACCATGACAGAAATGGCGTAGAAACGTTATCTGGGTGAGATTCCAGTTGTTGCAACTGCCTAAGGAGTAGACTACATTAAGCAAAAAATACCCAAAATTGTCTCCACGATGAGTCACGACTAGTTGAAGTTCCAACATGTGAATGGTGTAACTTTTGAATTTTTCAGCTCAGTTTTTTTAAAACTTGTCCACCTTCGGGTGTGCATAGGCGAAGCCGGTCATCGAACCCTTATTACAACGTATCTAGGCTGTTGTTTGAGGGGTACTTGGATGTTGCAGATTTGTTCTTGTGGGAAATCTCGGGAACTTTTTTGTGAACTGTCTTTCTTCAGAGAGTTGTCCATAGGGTGACGTCCAAGTAGCACACAGATGAAAGGACCTCTGGGATAGTGGTTCACCCTTGATGGTGTTCATCAACATCGTAGAATTGGACACCCTTTCATCCCAACCGATACTAGCTCCACAGTAGCATAATGGTGCTGCTTTTAAGATGATCCATGAGTTGCGTTAATATTTCAAATGGTTGTATTAACCTTCAGAATTTATCTTGAACAAACTTTTATGATTTTTGTTTACTCTCTGAAGGTTCGATAGGAAACCTTTTGCCAAAAAATATTGAATCTAATTTTACACTTATATTCTAAGCAATTCGTTCCATAATCTTAAGGCTCAATAGAAGTATATAAGTATTCAAATGTTACGGTTTATTTCAATTCGAAGTAAGCGTAGATGGGCTGTAGGTGGGCACTTATTATCAGACATGTTCTCGACGATGATCTTAAAGCTGTTCTCCTCCCTACCCAAAACGAAATTTCAAAGACTTTTAGATCTTTTTCGCCATTTTCTTGGGTGTAATTTGTCTGACAACACTGGGATTCAGAGAGCTAAGGTCGACATACTTGGAATATCTCCCTTCTTTTGGACAACCATAGTTTCTTTTTTGATCAGGCTTCATGCCTTTGTTNTGACAAGTTTATACGGTGTGAGATGAATCGAGAAAATTTAATTGGAATAGGTGATTTGAGAGGTGACATTTAGGGATTCTGCCATTATAGACAGCTACCGTGACAGCAGAAAGTTATCAGGAAAATTAAAAAGACAGAGATTGTCTTGTCTAGCATCGTTTTCATCCTTGAAACATCTTGCAGGGTTTCACAGAAGTCATCTAACATTTAAATTAGAAGGTTCATTAAATGAAATCTGGGCAGCTGTGGATTATGTCAACCGAACAGGCTCCCTTGCCTGTTACTCCAGCCCTCAAAATACACTTGGAATAAAAAGCTTTTGTTTTGATTTTCTGGTTATCAACGCATCTCAAACTTGCTTCCTTCCTTCAACGAGAAGCGGTGCTAATATAATGGAAGTGCTCTTAAAACTATGGTCTAGATTGCACATCTCTTTATTGGTCTGGAGTTGACTATGGCTTTTCGCTTCGCCCCCCTACATGCCAAGCCATCACGTCATTTTGTTGGGCTTTTCTGCAATCGGTTTGAGAAAGTCGGTTCATGTAGGGTGAGCACAAAACAGCGCCTCGATGGAAATTTTGAAGAAATGATGACGGCTGCCTCCACTGCATCGAGAGGCAATAGTGCGGTTTAGCAGCTGTGTAGTCTTATTGTCAAACAATTTTTCAATGACGACTGAGGAGAAGCACGAGAAAAATAAATTAGATGGTTCCCCGCGTTAGTTCCACGGTTTCTACTCCTTGTCACATCTGGCTAACCTTAAAAGCTCTAAAGTTTCGTAGTCTTCTTTCAAAAATCATTTTTGCGAATAGCGAAGGAAGATTTGAGATTTATCGTCGCTCTTATTGCCCAATATTTGACATCTGTTCAAAAATTATAGTAAGAATGAAAGAAAGTTCCTGATTGTTGAATATTGACAGTCGTTTTGATTTGTGGTTCATGATCTGCTTTTGAGTTTCGGAAGTCATAGTTGTTACATAACTTGCAGCTAAATAGTGAAAAACGACGTGTAGGTAACGGATTGCTTATAAATTTGTTTTTCGTAATTCGTCAGTTTTTCATTGGTCAATCTTCATGCTTCCTATTTGACCCTTTTCAATTTCATGGTTTTTTACGCTAGTGGACTTGATATCAGACTAGATTTTTTTCATGCTTTCAGTACGGGTGGTGCTTACCATTTTTCCCCTTGTAGATATTATTTTCCAATATTTACATGCAACTGTTTAGGTATGTCGGTAAATTCCAACCACGAAGTCAGCGAATGCGTGAGATGGGCGAGTCCACAAAAAAATTCACAAACGTATTTATAAAAAACTTTGGAGAAAGTCTGGATAAGGAGGCGCTTCAGAAGCTTTTCGAACCGTTTGGTAATATCACTAGTTGTGCGGTCATGACCGATGCCGAAGGCAAATCGAAGGGTTTCGGTTTTGTCGCGTATGAGCAGCCGGAGCAGGCCGAAAAGGTATTAAGAATGTTTCGCTTTGGTTCTCGCAGATTGAATCAGAATAGTTCAGGCCGTGCAAGAGATGAACGACTATCAGATTGAGGGTACCGATCACAAATTGGTAGTTTGTCGCGCCCAGAAAAAGAGCGAAAGAAACGCGGAGCTCAAACGCAAGCATGATCTTCAAAAGGTAGAAAAATGCTCTGCCACCTCCAAGTTTCCTTTGTTCTCATGACTTGTACTCCCTTATCCGTTTCATTATTAGGTAGAACGCATGCAGCGTTATCAAGGGGTAAATTTGTATGTGAAGAATCTTGATGATACAGTCGATGATGATGCACTTCGCAAGCACTTCGAATCATATGGCAAAATTACATCTTGCAAGGTATGGTGGTTCTCAAGTATGGCTGTTTAGTTGCATGAACACGAAATACGGTTGCAGTGAAATTCTTTTTCAGGTCATGACTGATGAGAATGGTCGTTCGAAAGGTTTCGGATTCGTTTGTTTTGAGAAGCCTGATGAGGCTACTAACGCTGTTACTGAGATGAACTCGAAAATGGTGTGCTCGAAGCCACTATATGTTGCATTGGCGCAGCGTAAGGAAGACCGTCGCGCACAGTTGGCATCACAATACATGCAAAGATTGGCCAGCATGAGACTCAGCAATAACGTACCCGGTACCATGTATACTCCCAGTCAAGGCGGCTACTTTGTATCCAGCACTCTGCAGGTATGTATTTACCGGCACAAGCTAAGTTATAAGGATGTACAGGATTTATTTAAACATTCGGCTTCTGTCTTTGCATTCCCAACTAGCACGAAGTGAAGGTGGTTTTGGAATTCCCCTTATAGTCGCCTTGGTAACAAATTCAGAATCAGCGTGGGTTCGCTCCTGGTGCAATGGCTGGAACTGCAATGAGAAGTTCTGCTCGAAACTGGCAGAGTAATTTCGGAGGCCAGAATCCGTACATCGTGCCTGGAGGTCCAGTTTTCCAGGTAGGAGTTCTTCTATTGAGAGAGGGTTTGTCGACGTGTCACTTGTAATGTTGTCTTCAGGGACGAGGTCGCGCCGGAGGTGCTGCCAATGACTTGCGTTCTCAGCAGTTCACTTCCAATGCTGTGCAGGGTGGTAATCGTCTTGCAGGACAAAGAGTTGTGCCGGCAGGTGTTGCTGGCCAAGGACAAGGCGCCGGACAACGTCAACATCCTGTAAGTGTGGAAGCAGAGTTGAAGGACATTTGGTCACTTGATCCGGTGCTTTAGTAATTGTTTCTAAATGAATAAGCTATTATCTACTTTGTTTCAGGGTCAGAGGCCTCAGGCAGCTGGTGGGAAGCAGAATGCTGCGTCACTGTTCCAACAGTATCCACAGAACCAGCAGCAGAGAGCTCCGATCGCTCAGGGAATTGTTGTCGGGGGGCAAGAACCGTTAACGTCCCATATGCTTGCCCAGGCCGCCCCACAGGTTCATCCTTTGTTGTACTGGTTTATAACATCTTGAGAATTAAAAACTGAATGGATTTCCCGACGTAATCAATTACTAAAGTTGAGTGAATGGACTTGTATATTACCTAACTGTACATGTTTTGTAGGAGCAAAAACAGCTGCTTGGGGAACGTATCTACGCTCTAATCGACAGGTTATATCCGGGCCACAAGGATGCAGGAAAGATAACTGGAATGATGCTGGAAATCGACAACTCGGAGCTGATAATGATGCTGCAGGACTTGGATCTTTTCAAGTCGAAGGTGGAAGAGGCGTCATCGGTCCTTCAATCGGCGGCCAAAATGAACTGAATGATGCGGACGTTGTGGTACTTTTTCAGGGAGGAGTTTCTCTGACTGACAAAATCTTCCGTTCACTCTGGCTCCCTATACTGTTGCTCTGTTTTTTATCAAATATTTCTAACAATAGACTTAGTTTTCTTGCGTGGTTCCTGTTTTCCTGTTACTCACTTTGAATTTGTTGCCACAAAAGATAAATTGTTGCTAAGAAGAACGTTTAGGTGTATATTTGTGCGTCTATTCATTCGCAACCATTTGTCTAATTTAAAATATGTTCTTGGTTTCATGGTACAATAACATTGTTTTATATGGAAGATTGCTGGACATCGTCAAGCCCTGAGTGCGTCTCGGCGTTCAAGAAAACAAGTTCGTATCTGCGAAGTGCAGCGAAGTTTGCAATAGAGAATCAGTTGCCGCTCTGTTTGGCATCGGCGTGGAGTTCCAAAGCCGGAATTGTTGGTGCATTCTATTTCAAGTGATTCCTAGTTTATTAATAAGTGCTAAGAAGGTAAATCTCTGTAGGCTGCTACTGAAGGGGGAGGAGAACTCAAAGTTTTAAGTAATACGTTCGAAGGATATTTATAACGTGAATCTCTATCGGTTAGATCTCAATTGGTACTGTATATGAAGGTTGCCGTTGTAGCAATTTCTTTATTCCTTGGTGAGGGCCGAGCTAAGCATGAATCACATGCAGTGGGGTTCACGTGTGTGCAAGGGTTGCTACGGAAGAAAAGGATCTTCTGACTTAATGTTTACATCATGGAATTGTTGATATTATTCTCTAGCTGACGAACTCACGGTAGTCGGAAAAATAGGAAAGGTTAACGAAGTTGGGAAAACAACTGGTAGAGAACAAAGTGCAGTCTTATTCTTGTTACTTAAACTTTATTTTGTTCCATTCCAACTCTCTCGATAACACTGATGCCAATGTCTCGTCTGCAAATCCCAAGTTGCTAATTTGTTAGAAGCAATCTACCGGTTATTAACCACACTACTATATCAATCACACCGCTATCGTTACTTTGGAAATGGCACAGACGAGCGAGACGAAATGTTCACAAAAGTTTGGTTGTACTGGTAATCGTGACATGATTATCTGAACCTTTTCTAGATTGCAGCTATTTTGTAGTCCTTTTGTTCCTGCATGCTAAAAAAGTAACGCTTTCAGTACGACCCACCACTTCGTAGCGCAAACCGTGTCTGCTGCTGCTCATGTGGGCTTGATTTAAGGAACAGGCGTTGCTTCGACATAAAGGTCAAGGATAAAGAGTCAGTTTACTTTCTTTTCGGGGAACAACTGTTTTACACATTTTTCACTGCTATTCTTCATTAAATTAGATTGGATAGTTACCTTAGTACTGTGTATTTTTCTGTGTACTCCAAAAATTTATCTTAAAGTTTAACTAGCTACTTTGCAAAAGAATTTCTGTTTAGATACCAGGTACCACAGTATTCTACGGTCAATATATTGGTGGAATAAATATCTTTTTGTTGGGCAGAGGTTCTCAAATTATGTGGTCCATAGTCACTTAATGGTCAATTAATAAGATTCGATTCTACGATTCTGCTAATTCGTATATTAACTATTAGTACCAATCCCGTTTGAAGACAAAATTTGAGAGAGGTTCTTCCTGTGCGTTCCTAAAAATAAAAGAAAGCTTCGCAAATACAATTGTAGTCTGTAACGTGGTTATGAACTTGGGACATCTGAGGCACCCGTGCTTTCCATTCCCGGTTATTGAGTTATTAGGTTTTCATTTATATGAAGCTGTTAAATTTCCAGGGCAGCTGTAGAGTGGTTTATTGCGAGTATCACACAGCGGTGTGAGTTGCTTGAACAGGGAAACTTTCAATACTCATTATGTGTTTATTAACTCCTATCGTTTTCCAATCATGTGTTTCTACGACAATCGTAGATTAGTGACTGGAGCTCGGTACTGTTTTTTTACTCATTCTATACAGAGCGGCTTAGCGACATCATAACCAAAATCGGCCAGTTTTCTGCCTTTCAGTGTGCCGCTTTTCATCACACTTTTCGCCCGTTTCCGTTTCCGCGGGGTTGTTCATTCTATCGCATATTCTTAACATATCTTGATACCTTTTCTCCCGACCTGTCGGTCTTAAACATTGTTTTTGGTTGTCACCTGGTGTAACTCAAATGACCAGATAAAGTCTGGAGTACAACTACAGATTTCAGCCCAACTGGCATTTTACGCGTCACTGGTAAAATGGATTTGTTGGCCTTCCTCACCTCAAAATTTGAATCTATTATATCTTTTCTAGGAATTTAGTTACAGGGAACTAAACCGTGATGTTTTAGATTTTTCAACTGCGTGAAATTCTTTTATTTCATCTTATTCTAGTGACTGCTGTAGTTAAATCTAAAGACAACACTTGAAGTAGTTTTTCTTTTTAAGCGATACTAGAGATGTCGAGGGTCTGTGCTGCGGATGCAGACAGGAATATCGCTGCGGGGAAGTGGAGCTAGCGTCTTGCTCGGATTCGTTTATAACATTAGGTGAGCAAAATTTCCTTTTTGTCAAAGTGTCAAGTGTTCACATGACATAGTTTATGACTACATGTGAGATAAAGGTAGATGAAGCTGAATATTGAGGTTTCAATGCAATAAAGTAGGACTGCTCTGTTAATATCCAATAGGCAATAATAATGCAGCTGTTATTTTTTCTGCTCCTTAATTCTCTTTCTTTTTACT